GCAGCATTAAGGTCCAGGACCAATGAGACACAGTACTCTACAGGGAAAACAAAACGTAAGAGTCAGTTAATACATTCCGTTTCAGGGAAAAGATGAAGAAAACTTCCTGTACAAAAGTAGATGCAGCTCCCAGTAACTGCTGTAATTACCGGTCATCAGCTTTTTGATAGGGAAGACATCCTCACCCCCTCAGTAAAAAGGCTCAACACTACATGCCCTCCCACCCCTTCCCCTGCCGTTCTGAAATTCACTGGCTGTCCATTTCTACAGCTGCCCTCGCCACATATATTTTAAGCTCATCCGGATTTGATTTTCAAGGTTCTGATCTTCTGCTGCTAGTTCCTGAAGTCTGTGCTGCTGTATGACAGATAGCTTCTTTTGTCTGTTGAGACGGCAATGAGTTCTTCCTATACACTTACATTCAGCGCCTGCCTTTTCTCAACTACTTTTTGGCGCGGCTGTCAACAGGTCTGGTCAAGGATTACATGGTGATGCTTACCAAATCTCCTAGGCACTGATAAACTTTTCTCTACTTTAAAGCTTGCTGAAGACTCACCAAGTCATTCTCTACTAGGAAGGAAGAAAGGTCCACCAAAACCCATGTTGGGATCATGAAGAATACAGCATGGCATCCAAGTATATTCAGCAACCGAAGATGATGTATCCGGGAATCTCGTAACACCTGATAAGCAAGACACAAGAAATCATTCTCTGGCCAAGCATTAAGGGCGTTCAAAGTAGAGGCAATTGTTCCAACAAGCAGAGTTCCAAACACTGATAGGAAACAATAAACCATTGCCCACTCAAAAAGCCTAACTCATTTTGTACCAAGGGATTAAGGCTAGGTAGCAGCCTGCCTGGAGGCAAAGACTTGCTACTTGGTTAGTTTAAAAACTGGAAAGGGTTACCAAGTCAGCTGTTCATGCTGTCTACTAGCACCCACCTCTTAAGTGTTAAACGTTCTGTTCAGACTTAAAAAGCCTGCTTTTTCCCCAGAGCAAATTCAAGAAACACGTTCGAGCTCTGAATGACCTGTTCCAGGTTCAGAGCTGTGGCAAGGGTTGGCAAGTGCTGAAGGTGTAGTCTCTCAAATACAATGTTAATCTCAAGGTCCCTGTGAATGCTCATACTGCTGATTAGAGTTAAAGAGCCTTGGGCATGGAAAAGAGATCTCAGCGGTTCTCAGCCTCTTCAGACTTGCAGCCCTGTCTCCAAAAATGCCTGCTCTGAGTTTCCGCTGCATTTTGACTGCAGAAAAACCACCAGACAGGTCTCCTGTTGCACAGAGCTGAGGAAAACCACAACAGATGGGAAGGTTTTGGCACCATAGCTTCCCAGCGGAACTCCCTGAGGGTCTCTTGCGAATCATGCTGGCACATCTAGGAGCGCCAACATGGCAGGAGACCTCCCGTCACCCCTGAAAGGATCTCAAAGCACCCTGGGTGCAGCAGCACCCTGGCTGAGAACAACCGAGCAAAGGGCAGCCTGCGGGTCAGCACGCTGCCAGTGCCACGGGCTGCACTTCCACCCAGCTAAGGGAGCAGGAGAACTGTTACCTTTTTGGAAAAGATGTTCTGAAGCGAGAAGCAAAGTGTAGCAGCTAGAGCACTGATGAGTCCCCACATGTCAAAAGAAAGCTCAGTCACCGTGGCCAGCAGGACACCGCTAATTATAGGGATTAATGATAAATACACCTGAAAGAGGGACAAGGGAGATGAGCTTACACCCTTCGGGCACTTCCAGCTCAACAAGGTCTTGCGCGCTCGCTCGTGTCCGGCGCGTTCGGCCTGCAGAGTGCAGAAAACCAGCTTGTCCTGCGCTCTCAGAGGGCTCCTTTACCATCGGGAGAGCGAACACTCAGCTCCAAGTCTCAGAAAACCGGGGCTGGAAGGGACTCCAGGGTCAGGCGGCCCGGGCAGGGTCTGAACCGCCTCGTCCTGCGGGCGCAGCCTCCCGGCCCCCGCCCGCGGGACGGCCCCTACCTTTGTGGTCTGCTTCTCCTTCATGATGATCCTGGAGAGCAGCACGACCCAGATGGGCATGGTGGCCTTCACTGCAAGCAGAGGGAAGGCGAGGCGGGCGCTGCCGCGACCCGGGCGGGCGGCACGGCC